AAATCAAAAGAAAGATAATCTTAACCATTTTGATGGAACCGAATCCATCAAAATAAAACCTACTTAAAACTTATAGAAAGTGATAAAAGGGGTCCATAGAAATTGTGAACATATATGAAAATCATTTGAAAATAGGAGTTTAATCACAGGTGATCGCGACTTGCACAAGTGACGGGTAACTTGAGAAAGTGAATGAAACATTGGGTCCTACTCATCTTTGCTTTATACAGTATATTCTGATTTTATTGCTCTTTTTGTGGTATAAAATTGTGTTCGATCAGGCATGTATAAACCTTAAGATCACTTCCGATTGTTCTAAACAGAGTCTAAATAGCAGCAAACCAACTAACTTCCGTTGTTAATAGTAGAATACTATTAAGTCATTAAGTTCCTAAGCCCTTAGATCATCTCGTGTCAAACAACTATCATTGTTGTTTCAAACACTAGGATTTTACCCCATCATCAACGACCTTTCTTTAATGTTTTAAGTTAAGCTTACCCGTGGGAGATTCACATAACATGCATGTACAATTAGTTAAGTGACCGATTAGTTAAGTTGCTTTGGCGTGCACATTTTGACTCACATCAGTTCCTACCTTAGTATTAGCATTTGTTGTATCACTTTGGATCCACCGCTTCTTCCTAGTTCATCCCTCCTTGAATAAACTATCCATCTTCGAGAGGTCTTTAATCCTCAAAATGATGGTCACATTTTGATCTTCACTTTTATGCTTAGTATGATATCTCTAAAACCTTCTTGTTGAGGTGAACTATATGTTTAACTGCGACATTATGAAAACTCACCCATCATTAAATTCATTTGAGATTTATTACTTCTCCTAACTGCCCATTTCCATACAATTCATTTAATCTCTTGCAGTTCTCAAAAATGGGTTCTCTGAGTTGCATCAACGAATTACATTTGCCCCCTAAGGTTTGGCCAAACAACGGTGCAGACCCTACCGTTTGGTTATATTATCGATTGCCCCTCGTACCGGCTAGTCAACCAACAATTCACCCCCTTATCGCCAGAAAATTGATGTGGGACGTTGACATACGCATAAAATACACCTGAAATGATGAAAAAGCATATGTTCAATGTATTTGTTTTCTTCTTTTTAAATCTAATTTGTGTAATTTTCGTATGACTACAAATACCCTTTTCTACATATAGCGTGTATGTATACATCACCCTCCTCAGAAACCTTTTCCCTTCTTCGACCAAAACAGTCCCACCACCAAATTTCTACCGGGCATTGTGCTTTGAATCTTCTTAGACAAAATAAAAACTATTAACTACTCAATTCTTTGAATCTTCTTTGACAGAAGAAAAAACTAATTATTCAGTTCAAAGAAGACCTCAGGTATTGAATTGGAATCTTCTTAGAATATTTCATCGATTCAATTTGGGGGAATTTTTATGTGAATTCTGGTGACACCTTCATGTAATTAAAACAAAGCTCCATTGCCCAAAGTGAAGGAAGGGCGGAATTTGAAGTTCGGATTGACCTAAATTGTCAAAGGTAGAGGATCTTGACACTGATTTTTTTCTTTTAATGAAAATCGATGATTGATTCAAATTTAGATGGAAATTGATTATTCTCCCTTCTTTCTTGTTGCATGTTTTTGTCAATGAAGTTGTCCTTTACTGATACTAGTATAACCCAGCAGAGTTTAGAAGTTGATGGTTGATTTTTATTTATTATTATACAAATTAGTTGGTTTTGATTGAGTAGCTAACTAGTTCCATATGATTTTGTTAGTTCTCATAAATCATTTTTTCCTGCAAATAATAATAATAGCTATCAACAAGATTGCTTGGAGTAATCATGGTTTCAAATAAAGGAATGGGAACCTCCGTGTAAACTGTATTCTGGTCTTTTGGAAAGCTTCACTGGTGGGGATAATTAAGCTAAATATAAGAAGGTTCTACAGACTTTCTTCACCACCGTGCGGCTGCAGGGGGAGTCCTACGCGATGAGCGGATGACCAAGACAGTTAGATTTCCTTGTTTTTGGCTAACATCATCTTCTGCTCAATTACAAAATCATTGGGTGTTTATCAGGGTCTACAGAGGGTGGCAGAAGTTGGTTATGCACTAATCATTTGTAACTGGAATGGTTTGAAGCAGTAGCACCACTACGTAATGTGGAGAACACAGAGCAACAATCCAATTTAGTTTGAAGAATTATAGTCCTTCACTACGATTGAAGTTGGACAGTGAAGTTAAACTTAGTTTTAGAGAGTGCAATGGTGTAGCAGATTCTTTAGCAAAAAAGAATCTCGATTTAGATTATGGATTGCATATTTTGACGAACACCAAAAAGTTACATATACTATCTTTTTGTTAGACACATTAGCAACTTCTTCTCTAGCGAGCATGTATTTGTAAACTAACCTTGAGCTTCCACCTTATATATAAAAAAAGGAATGATGAAGGTTGGAATGGTTTCAAAGTGAATGGAGATTGCAATTGGAAATTTGTTGGCCTCAATTCAGAAAAAAAAACCACAGTTGTTTTCGGGTCGTTCCGGTCTTACCCCAGTTGTTAAAAACGTTACAAGTCAACCCCAATTGATAAGGAAACTGTTTTTTGGGTAGTTTCCGCCTTTGTGTCAGAATAAACCGTAACGGAAGGTAGGATGCACATGGAGGGGTAAAATCATCTTTTCAATAATATTGACCATCTCCTATTTTTTCGGAACGAACGGTGAAGGATGGTGCATGTAGACAAACGAGTATATTAAAACACATGTTGTAATTGGTTGACTTGGTTCAACTTGCTTGTCATAAAGTTGAAACTTGTCTTTGACTCAAAGAGGAGAGAGAGATAGAAATTTGACTATATCAACAAACGAGGGTTGTCGGCAGAAACTTGAGTTACAGATGAGGTGAAGAAATCCATAAACTCTTTCAGTTCGTGAATGAATTTAGACTCAATAGTGGCGAGTTTGTTGCGAGGTGTGGATATGGATCTTAAATGGGTCTGCGATATGAACCCTGAAGAAACAGATATCCCACTTTACTATAAGTTTTTTTCGATTGATATGCTTCGAACCAGTTAATGAATTTTGGTTCTTTCAATAGATTGATGCATAGATCTGTATTTTTTACACATGGTTATGTTATTTGCTTTAGTTGCATTATGAAAGGCTGTAAACCTAATTTATAGTTACTGTGTATATTGGATTTCAATGAACTTAATGTAGTATTTGTTTATTAATAGGTGATGAGGCAAAGCAAATAACTACCAAAATCCACCATGGGGGAAGTTTTCAGATGACGTTAGAGCTGAAGTATGTTGGTGGCAGAGTTAATTATTTTGATTTCATAGATGAACCCAATATTACCGTGGAGTGAATGACGTCATATTTTGATAGGGTTAGTGGCAACGGACCCCACATATTGTCTCATCAAGATAGAAAAAGGGTTGATCATTCTTGATTTAAGCATTTACATGGATGTGAGGACGTTAAGGCAATGTTGGGGGACAGTACTGTTCAGAGACTGCGGGAGATAGATGTATACAGGATTGGCCCAGGAGATGTGGATCCTTTAATTGTCTAGTGTTCAAACGTCATCAAGGAACGGGGTGATTGTGCTGACGACAGTGGAGATGATGTGTATGATAGTGGGGATCAGGATTATGGTGATGATGACAGTTAATATTCTAGTCATTCTGATGGTGATTCTGCTTCTGAGTATGATTATGGTGATTCTGAATCTGATTATGGTGGAGTTAAAAACATTGGGGTTGAAATGGATTATGATTATGTCAATCGAGAGCGTGTCAAAGTCAGTGATCATGACGCGGGTGACATGGATCTTGAGTACCGGGAAAAAGTTGATGCAGCGGTCCGTGTTCAATCTTGGTGTTTGTTTGACAAGGACCCAAAATTGGATGAGGTGAAAGGTTATGATCATGAGGCTGATTGTGGCTCATTTGAATTGTTAAGGTCCAAAAATATGTCAGAGGGATCATTTGCATAGGACCCAAATGGAGGTAGAAAGAATTTAAAGAAGGGAAGAAGGTATGTACCTACGGATGATATGACATATCAGGGTTTTAGGTATGGCATAACTTTGATGATAAGTGGCAACTTATTAGATATATCAAGCTCCATTTAGTTGCTGAAAGGCGACATATAAGCTTCAAAAGGCATGACTCCAAGTATGTTAGGGCAATTTTCTGCAGTTAGGGTGAGTCCAAATGAACCGACTGAGATTAGGACTCACCAAGACAAACACACTTGTCCAAGACTAGAGAAAACAAGGAACTGCACTGCCCATGTGGTTGCCAAGTGGTACCTTAAAGACTTGGCAGTGGAGCCTACCCTCAGTCCTTGCTTCATTAAACATAGGGTTAAGAAGGACCATGGATTGAAAATCTCAAGAAGCCAGGCCTGTAGGGCTAGGAATAAGGCACTTGACATAAACAAAGGTACTATTATGGAGAATTATGCGTATTTGGAATCGTATTTGGCCGAAGTGGAAAAGACAAACCTAGGTAGCACAATTAAGCTTATGACTAGGAAAGACGATACCCATAGGTTCCAGAGACTGTACATGTGTTTAGCAGCCTCTAAGAAGGGTTTGAAAGAAGGATGTAGGAAACTGATTTGTGTAGATAGGACCTTCTTGAAGGCTCCAACTGGGGGCCAGCTCCTTGCGGCTGTGCGATACGATGCTAATAACCAGATATATCCTGTTGCATTTGCTATTGTTGAGATGGAGAATGAAGATTCATGGAAGTGGTTTTTGGAATACCTCATTGATGACTTGGGAATAACTGATACGCCTGAATGGGTTATCATCTCAGACCGACAAAAGGTACGAGAGTAAATTTTAAATCTGTGTTTAGTAACAGGCATATCCATTGAGAATGTAAATGAGTGTAAAGCAATTGTATTCATGATACTGAAATTTAGTGTGGATGTTAAGGCTTTGACATTAATTATTTTTTCAGGGTCTTCTTCCAGCTGTTGCTACACTTCTGAAAAATGTGTCCCACATACTGTGTGGAACACTTATGGAATAATTTCAAGCTAAAGCACCCCGGATTGAAATTGAAAGCCAGATTGACGAATATTGCAAAAGCAACAACTGAAGAGGAATGGAACAAGCTAATGGATGATTTGAAGAAGAAGCATGAAGGAGGATGGAGGTATCTTCATGAAATAGGAGTAAGTCACTGGTGCATGTCACATTTCTTTACTGAGACAAAGTGTGACATGTTGGTGAACAACATATGTGAAGGCTTCAACAGTGTTTTGGTAAAAGTCTGTAAACTACCAATCCTTGGGTTGTTCGAGTGGTTGAGACAATACTTGATGGTTATGTACCACCAGACTAGGGAACGGATAGAAAAGTCACCATTTGAATTTGGTGACAAAATCAGGGCCCGTTTAGTGAATCCCGAGAAGAATCTAATTGTTATGTTGCATAATATTGTGGTGATGGTGAGTATGAGGTGAAGGGGGAAAATGAACAGGTTGTTGTGTGCCTTAGAGCGGGAGATCTGAGTTGTGCTTGACGGAAGTGAGATTTGTCTGGTATTCCTTGCCAACATGCAGTAAGGTGCATTCTTGATGACGTGAAAAAGGTGGAATATTATGCTGACAGATGGTACTCAAAGGAGATGTACCTGAGAGCATATGCAAATAATATCCGGGGGATGAATGGTCCTAAATTTTGGAAGCGAATATCAGACCCACCCCTATTGCCTCCAGAGTTTAGACCCTTGCCAGGAAAAGTGAATGGCAGCAGGAACAAGCGACATGATGAACCCCACCGAGTATACAAGAACCAAAAGGGTTGGTATGAGGCCAGTAGGAAGGTGGGCCCGGGACACACTAAGTGCGGTAATTTTCAGATTTCGGGGCATAGTAGGAAAAGCTGCCCAGATTTGAAATAGGTAATTATCATGTGGAAATGTGTTTTTTTTACCAAACTTTGTTCCCTAATTCAACCTATGTTGTGGGTTTATGTACCATTATTTGGGATAATAATTGAAAGTTTGGAATTGTTACGTAGAATGATGGCAAGGAGAGTGAGAGGCCCTTAGATGGGCAGAAGCGAGCAGCACCAAAACAACAGCGGGGCAGACCACGCAAACGGGTTGCAGGTGAACCTTTGGCTGATGATGTAAGCGTTTGTACTTGTATATGTTCTTAAAAGGTTATGAGTTCTCGATTGTATTGGTTTGAATGGTTTTATAATTGACAGATGGGTAAGCAAAAGGGAAGAGGCAGGAAAGCACTCCCGAATAGTCGATGTGAATACTGCAAACGCAGGGGGCACAAACCAATGTCTTGTCCAGCACTAAAAAACAAACTTGATAAGAAGAAGGAAGCAACCAAGCAAGACAAGGTAACCTTTCGTACAGGTTAAGCTCCTTGTAAAATGGTACTGAAATGAAACCTCCGTATTTCGGTTTTAAATTTAACTTTATGTTATACAAAACTTGCATATTATACGGAGTTAATACTCTGATTGTTATGTGTAAACCTAAAGTGCATTGTGATTGCATAGAAGATTATCTTCATCTACAAACCGTGATGTCTTGTCCCCATCATTATGGTACTAGGGTAAGGGTCAGCAACAAATTCAAAAGGGTGCTAGGCGGAAGCGGAATAACAAACATAGAGGTAATTTGCAGCTTCGCGATGAAGACGAAAATGAGTGTGAATCTGCTATCATGGTGTCTAGTACTAAGCGTAAAGGAAAAAATCAGGTCGCTGATGGAGATAAAAATGATCCCGTCGTCCTGGTGTCCATAAGTAAGGGGAAAGGAAAATTTCAGCTTTGTGATGAAGATGAAAATGATACTGGTATCCTGGTGTCGAAAACTAAGCGGAAAGGAAAAAAGTAGGTTCTTGATGGAGATGAAAATGATCTCGTGGTCCTTGAGTCCAGAAGTAAGGGGAAAGGAAAATTTCAGCTTCGTGATGAAGATTAAAATGATACTGGTATCATGGCATCCTTAGCGGAACAGAAAAAAACAGGTTCTTGATGGAGATGAAAATGATCCCATGGTCCTGGTGTCCAAGAGTAAGGGGAAAGGAAAATTTCAGCTTCGTGATGAAGATGAAAAGGATCTTGGTATTCCGGTGTCTAGAACTAAACAGAAAGGAAAAAATCAATTTTGTGATGAAGGTGAAAATGATCCTGGTACCCCGGTGTCCAGAACGAATTCTTGTTGAAGATGATGATGAAGAAGATTTTCTTGTTATCTGGGTGTCCAGAACTAGGCAGAAAGGAAAATTTCAGATTCTTGATGAAGATGAAGGTGAAGATGTTGTTCCAGTGACCACTTCGGTGCATGGAGAAGCTTTGTCATGTAAATATTGTCAAATGACCAGTCATCGGAGAGCTCAGTACCCTCAAGAACAGTTGACACGTGGGTTAGAAAATGAAACTTCTGACGAAGAGTATGATGATGCAGCAGACAGTGCTCTTGAACCATGTGCAGACTTCTCGGGGAATTTTGACATGGATGAAAGGAAAGATCAGAATGAAGAATCATTGAAGGCCATTACTGCACCTGGTGAACTAGCGGTAGAGACGATCAACTTAGTTCCTGATGATTACAAACAATATTCTTTTTGGGATCAATGTTTGGGATCTTGATGGATTTGTCAACACTGTTATGGGGAGTTTAAACATGGAGAGTGGGACGAGTGTACTCGGTTAAGCATGAAATGTTCACTTTGCAATTGTAATGGACACCTCGTACATGAATGTGTAGAAGCACAGGTAATGTGATTATCATCAGTTGTTGGAAAAATTAATAGATAAACAAAAACTAAAAAATTGGTTGTTTTCTCATGTTGACAGAAGGCAACAAAAAATAATGGTCAACTTGAGGACGTAGGGAACTCCGTCGTTGCACCGGTGCTAGAGTCACAGCCCTATGAAGGCCCCAACAAAGCATCGCCCGCCATGGAAATGGTGCGCCTATTTTATCATTTACGGTTGTCCATGTTCATTTTCTTGATAATGGTTAAACAATTATTTATGCGTTTTGTAATTCATCTTGTTGTAGGTGTCAAATCTGCCCTTTACTCGAAAGAGAATGGGCCAATGTAGCAAGGTCAATGGAGAGAATCTAGGTCCTACTACCCGTAGTCCAAGGAGATTTAGCCAGAGACTTAGGGGGAGGTTGTTGTGGGAACAAACTCCCGTGGGGGGGGGGGGCAGGAAGCTCGGCAACTTCTCCAATTGATATTGGTGTAGAGGAGAAAGATCAGGCACGAAATGACCAGTCCCATGTAGATAACATCAATTCAGTGGGAGTGAATTCAGGACAAAACTTGGAGAACAACCTTGACAATTGCTTCAAACTGGGTGTTGGTCGGTCACGCAAGGCCAGATATCGAATGGTGAGTCTTGTTTTTGTTTTTGTTTATGTAACGATCATAGTTGTGAGTTGTGACACAATATATAATCCACGAATGGTGAGTGAAAAATATTCCTGTCAAATTTGTGCGCCGCCACACACTTGAGGCAAAAGAAGCTGCCAGGGTTGAAGGTCCAGTGGAAGCAGCAGAATTCCGGATGACAACCACAGTGGATAACCGTGGTTCAACAATTCAGAAGGAATTATCCGGGAACTGAAAGAGGTTCTTTGAAGACAGCCTGATCCAAGAGTACCAGCCTGTGCAGTTAACTCTTGACAAAGCATCTAATATGCCAAAGAATTGCCAAACTCTAAACTGGAAGAGACATTGGAACATTGCTTTTGCTTTTGATTTCTTCAGCAACTTGTAGTAATATGCTTGGGATGATTGTACTGTTTCGCACATGATGACTATAATTTGAACATTGGTTTTGCTTTCTTTAGCAGCATCTGGTAATATGGTTGGGATGATTGTACTGAATATTTCTTACTTCCCAGGAGAATTTAAATTTTCGATGTAGTTATGTGGACAACCAGTTACTAGTTATTTCTTTGACGTGTGATTTAAAATGTGACTGGAGATGTTGTTTGGATGGAGGGGGTTTTCTTTTTGTTTCAAGAAGCCAGAAATGATAATGAGATTTAAACCTACAAATATCTGAGCAGGCAAATAATTCCTTCGAAATGAGAGGCCATGTAGCCAAAGTGGTGTACAACTGTACATTTTAGTCCCCCAAATCCCAATAGGACAATTCCAAAGGTGCAGTTATTTTTTTATAGTTTTATTTTCCTTTTCTTTTTAAAAGTTAAAAGTTGCATTTTATTTATCCTTCCACTTCATCTCCCACCACACAATGAATTGGAGGATATAATACAAAGGGACCATTATTTGCCTTTTTTTGATTGTTTGTCGATTTAGGTCAACCTTTTGGGACGCATCTCCAACTATCCTTTCTAGCCAGAAACCCAAATTCTAATAAGGTACTTGCAAATATCCCTTTCTTATCCTTCTCGCTTTTGTTTCTACGCATTTTTTTACCGTAGATCTGGGACAATTTGTTCTCCTGTCGTAGTAAGATGCTGTGGTCCTGATAATTACTATGCATTCGAATATTCCATTACAACGAACTATATACTCCAATTATTTGCCATGTTGGAGTTTAGGATTTGAAAAATGTTGTTGATTTAAGAGAAGTAGGAGTCTGAGGTGCATTTTTTGATGGAATGAAAAGATCTATATTTATAGTGCCATACTTAGGTGTTGCTCGGTTCGCATATTAATTTAGTAATGTTAATTAGTTTAGTAAAAAAAACAATTTTTTTTTAACATAGTTGTCTTATTCATTATTCTAATTATGTGGAATAGTGTTTTTACTATATGGAATGGAGATTGTTACAGTTAATCAAGTAATTGCTACTGTTTTTTTAATAAAGTTATCTTATTATTATTAGTTTTTTGGAATGTAGTTTATTGCCAAATAGGAGGAAGGTCAGGATTTTATATTGTATTATAGTTGCCAGGAATGTAGATGAAACCTGAAACCACCGCATTAGGTTTTGGACCAAAAGTCATTGTCAGCCAAATAGTCAGCGATAAAGGGACCATCGTGTCTTTTCTCATATAGATGAGGCAATTTTTAAAAGAGAGAAAGGTACCTTCATGTTTGTTTCATACCTTTGTTTTTTGGGGGGTTATGAGTACTTAAACAAATATTTTCTTTTTAGATGTCAAAAAGATCGCACTCCAGCTTCAAAGATGATAGTGATTTTAGTGAGTCAGAGCTTGATGAAGGGACAGATAGTTTGTATAATTCTTTGAGAACTGAAGGCCGGGAAGTTCGCACTCGTGGGAACAAATTTACTTGCCCTTTTTGTAAAGGTTAAAAAAAGAGCAAGTTTGAATGCGTTGACCTTCTATAGCATGCAAATGGGGCGGGTCATTCGGGGAAAAATTCTATGCAAAAGCGAGCGAATCATCTTGCATTGGCGAGATATTTACAAGATGATCTCGCACCCGTCCCTCATGCAAATGATCACGCTGAAATACCAGTACTGGCAGTTCCTCATGCAGAAGTAGTGGTGGATCCCCTTCAATCTCACAATCCACAAGACCGCTTGGTTTACCCTTCAATGGCTATTGTTATTGACCTGCCTAGAAAACTCGATGGTGGGAAGTTTGTTGGACCGAGTGGCAGGGTTCTGCGTGAAAAGTATTTGTTTGAAGTTTTTAATCCGACAAAAGTGGAGTCACTGTAGGACGATGAAACTGGCCACTCGGGAATAGGTATTGTTCATTTTAGAAGTGGTTTTGATGGATTAACAGATGCTCTTTCATTGCAGCAGGCTTATTAGAATGATGATCATGGGAAGCAGGATTGGGAAGGGTCTGTTACTCACAATGATTCCATATATGCCTGGGTTGCTCAAGAAAATGATTACGCATCCATTGGAATCGTTGGGAGGAAACTTCGCGGGTGTGCAGTTATCAAAAGTTTCGATGAAATCAAAGGTCTCTAGGACACCTGGTGTGCCACTCTTGGTTGACTATCATGTAAATTTTTTTTTTAGATCCTGGGAAGACATGTAATGTTGATGAATGCTTGTTTTAGGTTAATTTGGTTTTTGAACAATGTATTATGTACCTTGAATTAGGAGGCAGTCGGACTTTAAAAGTGTGTTGTGTTATTGAATTGTTGTGTTCTTCAAATGTAGTGGTTTTTAGTCCTTTGGTTTTTGAAGTAATAGCTGAAAGGACGTCGTTTTACAATACACCATTTTAAAAGCCTAACTAAAGCGGAATCAGGGTTCCTGAAAACGGTGTCAGAGTTCTTTTAATGAATGAAAGTCGCATAAGGGTCGTTAAAAGTCTCAGGTGTTCTTCAATTGTTGTGTTCTTGAAATGTTGTGGTTTTTAGTCCTTTGGTTTTTGAAGTAATAGCTTAAACGACGTTGTTTTTATTATACACCATCCTTAACCATGCAACTGATGAAATCGAGTCCCCCCATACAATTTCCAAGTTTCGCTTAATACAAACATCAGTTTGGGAAACATTAAATAAGGGCAAAAGTGGGTTTGACTTAAGTTAGCCTTGGATTTAAAGAAAAACACCCCTAGATTTTTTATTAGCCGAATTGAAGAGACATGCGACATAGTCAAAAGTACTACAATACAATCATAATGCCCAACTAAAGACATGGGACATAATCAAAATACTACAATACAACCATAATGACCAACTAATGATGGGAACCATTCACAAAAACCATAAATCCCTAGAGTTACACATGGTTGATTTACAAGATGTGGAAGAAAAACAAGTTAGTCCCTTTGACCCATTCCAGTCCGCATAACTGACCCATGCCAATATCCATCTCTTGCACCAACTGTTTCCAAGCTTTGCCAGAAATCTTTCCAAGATTCTCTTCAGCATCCAGCACAAGACTCCATTTCTTTTCAGATTGAGCATCTTCTATCACAATTTTGGTCTTTCCGTCCTCCCCGGCTAGGTGAGTTTTCACAAATGCAGCCAGTACATGCTGCAAAAATCCAACAACAATTCTCACAAATAAGGGAACTATGTAACAGTATAAATATGAAACCATGACAAAACGAAAGTGAAAAAAGGAATAAATTTCTTTTACTAACCAACTGAAATGGCCAACTGAGTATGCTCTTCCTGACTGTAAACTCGAACCACAGAAAAGCTTCCTTTTCTTCAGACCTTGGTTCTGAAAACAACTGATACAAATCTTGAGGTGGTATGATTGAATTACCTCAAACGCCGAAGCTATGAATTTCCCAAGACTTGATAACTTGTGACACTAATGGAGAATACTCCAAACCACACGAGAAAGAAGAAGAAAAGAAGAAAAAAGATGCAAACCGCAAAAATTTACACCAAAAAGAATGGAAGATTCGAAAGATGATGAATTGTGTTTTGGTTAGCAACCCAATCGGTTCCTCTCTAACAACCCTATCCCTTCAATTTATGGATAGAACGGCTAGTGAAAAGGTTCAAATGAACAAAATAACAAAGCTCCACACGTGAAGAACACTTAAAATCACGCGCACGCGTCAACAAAGTACTAACAATTCGTGCAATGCACTATTCTTCACAAAGAATAGAAGAAAAAAGAGTTTTCTCTTTTTTCGCATTGAAAAATCAATAATAATCAAAGACATATGATTTTGGTTGACCAGCCCCCTCTATTTATAGGTAAGGTTGGCTTGGACAAAAAGAAATCTGAATACAAGTTCAAATCGGATTTGTCTACCTAAGTTTCTTAATATAGATTTAAATAATAATTAAATAAATAATTGCACATGACACAATTATTTAAAACCATCTAGAATCTTCTAGAAGTAAAGGAGAGTCGGGCATGAAGTTAAAATTATCGAAAATTACTTTTCCAAATCGAAATAGGAAGTTTAGGAAAATTCTGCCGCGCGCTTCGACCTTTTCGTCAACCAACAGCCTGCTCGACGCACTCCTGTCAGCTTTGTTGTCGACTTCTTTGGCTCGGCCATGAACTCAACGACAGCTTGTCAACTCCTTTGTTGATTTCTTCTCCTCGACCAAGAGCTCGACGTGCACCAAAAGCTTCAATTCCACTCTAATATAAGAATGAAACCAATGGAATTGAACCCACATTGAGAGCTTGAACATCCATGAACAAGTTATTGAGTGACTCATTCATTTTCTTCATTCGAGACCTCGTCATAAAACCTCCAATATTAGATAGTGGATCTTGAATCACTCTATGCTGTTGAACTTGATTATGAACGACGACTTGTTCTTGAGCTTGATCATCTCGGATGTCCACATCATTCCTCTTTAGTAATTGCTTCTTCTCGGCTAAATCATTGATGCACACCTTGTTAGCTTTCTTGTCTACCTCATTTACTTGACCATCATATCGACGTGATTCTTTTGACTTCATTGTCGACTTAATTCTAGCTTGACGCCAACCATATTTTGGCTTCAATCTTCCATCATCCTTAATTCCAACCTCAATATGATAGCATACACCCCCTATATGATCACAATCAATGTAATGATCATCATTGTTAGGTATGACACTCAACAGGCCATCCAGGATCGCATCAACAACATTCATAATTAGACCTTCTCAACAATTGTTAAAGGGGAACTACAACAAAATCATCAAGCTGTGATATTGTTTAATTCATAACCACAGAAAAAAAAACATACAAAATTGATTAATCACATTACCTTTATCTTTATCTTGGCGCCGGCCATTACATTTACCACTCTAGTCTGCTTCTGTGGCAGTGTCATCAAATATACCAACCCTCAACTTGGCATTGTCTTTCATTGTAAATACAAGCATATAGTTTATAGCAATTCCTCTCTCCTGTTCAAATTTCATCAAATCTCGGCCCATTAATTTAGTTCCCGTGTCTGTATGGCGTAAGGTAACCTTCCATTTACTACTCCAGAAGTCTTTCAAAGTAACCACCTCACCAAGTTTATGTCCATGTTTATACATAAAAGCTAATGGAATCCGCTAACATACGTAAACATAGGTTTCATATAACTATATGGATTTATAAACAATTTGGAAAAAACTTGGAACCAATAAATTAACACTTACAATTTCTTCAGAGACTGGCTGATCAATAATTTTATAGAACTTGGCCTTGTGTTTTTCGGACCCCATTCCACTAGCTTTAGATTTCCACTCCCCAAATCTTTTCATAGTCCAGTTTTTAACAATCTGGTGAAGATAAAACCATATTATTTAATCCCTCCATCAATTCACATAGAACTACAATGAAATAGAATCTCACCCATTAGTATTACATTAAAAAGCCAATTTTCATACACCCAAGTACGCCCCAAAACATAAAAAAAATATAAAGAGACAAGTTAATGTATTCAGTAACAAAAAATTAACCGAAAAATTCGGACCTTTCAAAACCAAAATCCTTGCCTCTTCCAGAAAGCCCCTTAAATTACCAGCGAATCCAAAAAGGGTAGTATACTACTGTTGTTGGAGAAAATGTGGAACTACTGTTGCTGGAGATTCAACTATTAACTATATATCTTTTTTTTTTTTAGCTGAGGTTGCAATTATTTACTGGACCTCTCATTTCCTTTGACCCCTCCATCTATTACCTATTGACCGTTTTCCCAAATCCACTGTTTCAATTTCCCCACTGATTCAATATATATTTATTCACTCTTTAACATAGATAAATACATTTCTTTATTGTTATTATATAACTGACAAATTTAAATCCATTGTACAATGTAGGAAGATCAAATTTGGAAGTGACATTATTCTGCAAAAGAGGCTTGGTATAAAAAAATAATTGAAATTTTGTAATGCAAAAAAATAAAAATATATATAAATATATTTTCTCTTTATAATCAACTGAAATGCCTATACTTTAACCCAGTAATTCTTTTCATAGATACAAATTTTGTGCACTGACCTTGGTAGTTGGTACATGATTTAATCCACAAACTGAAGGGTTGAAGAAGATAAGTGGGGCTGTCATTTGTGGAATATGGACAGCCTTGCTCTTTCCACAGTGTTTGATATGGCAATGATGTCGATTTGACAACAAAAAATCTCATAAACCAAGAAAATATTCGAATTTTGAATCCTGGTGGATTAGGGTATAGATTAAGTCAGAATTTAGCCGGTAGCCGGCCGGCGATATCAGTCATGGTCTGGCAGTGTAGCAATGTAGACTGGCAGCGGTTGTTGGTGGTAGAGGTGGATAGGTGGTGGTTGATTAAGATGAGACAAATTGAGACAAAAAAACGCTTACTAAAATTATATTATGGCACCCTTCAATTTATATTATGGCACCCTTATGTTATATTATAATCTCAAACCCCATATGAATTCCAATTCTTTCAGTTATGCCCTTGCTAAAATATGTATAATTTTGAATGGTACCCTTCGATGTTAATATTTTCAATCTCAACTCCTATAAGAATTCCAATAGTTACAGTTACATCCTTGAACCCAACACTAATATAACTAATATTCCGGAAATTAATACATAACCTTATCACAATTAGTGTTTAACACGTAACAATGTTAAAACTACGACAACACTAATAGAGATGAATTGTTATAGCTAACTATGCTAAGATACTCCATAATGTTACTAACCCTATGACAATTGATATGTGTATGGTAATAAGGATGACGTGATGCGAGTACTTAACGGTAGTACATATGATATGCAATCCGTAATAGTGTTAACAATAATATGTACATTTATAATAAATTTAGTAATCATAGTACTAAGTTATTAATACAAGATAAAACACTTAATAAATTAATTAACTCTATTAATGATACTTGTTAAATGATACTTTTATTAATAAAGTAATTAACTCTATTAATTTATAGTGATCTATCTATATTACATAAGAGCGATTACTTTTTTGAATATATGTCATATCAAATATGAACTAAAGGAGCAAGTGGACCGGTGGTAAATTGTTTGTCTCTTTCCCTGTCCAGAGGTTTTGATTTCGAACCATCTTGGCCATTATTTTTTTCCCACTTTGGGGGCAGTAATATTTTCCAACTTTTTTGGAGCTAATTTTCCTCCTTTTTAATATATTCTTATAAAAATCTGATTCCTTGAACGGAATATTTGAAATATTTATGTTGAATAAATAATTTATAACAAGTGATTAATTTAAATTTTTATACCAAACATAGCTTTGATCGAATAACAAAACAATAAAATTAGAAAAATGGGTACAACAATAATAATCACATTCTTAAATATGTCAACATCCTCCAATAGTAACATGCTGCGATAACATAACTGTGATCTAACTCAAGAGGGAGGAAAATATTTTTAACTTGTTCGCTATCAGGACTATACAATTAAAGATGGAATGGAGCGATGCCCTTTAAAATGAATTCTCCGGTAGGAGAAGATTTGTGGCTGAGAATGACAGGATATACCCATTCGCCATTGTATGGACAAGTACCAGGATAAACTGTTAGATCAGCAACGGAGAAATTTCTGTTTTCAAATACCCTTCTCCATCTCCAACTCTCTGAATTGTCTTCCCCTGATTCCCAGGCCCACATTTCAAAATTCATATCTCTCATATAAATATAGTTCTCCTTAGTTACGCACATAGTCTCTCGATAATCCAAGATCTTCACTCTAGGGAAACAATTAACAGTAACGAATATAGGAGTTGGAGGGGCATGAATTAACTGAAAAGTCTCCATCTCTGTGTCAAATGAAACCAGCAACTCAGTAGACTCTGGTCCCAAACAGCTGCGGGGCTTATCAATCAGCTAATAAACATATCTGTCCATCCAAATTCCGTAATCAACTCGAAAGGGATAACTTGTCCACTGTTTTCCAACGCACTTGATTTATCCGCAAACAAGGCTCAAATGAAAGGGTACATCGATAGAAATATCCATGATTTGGAGGGAAACAGGGTGACATAAAGGTGTATTCATTTCTAGAAGATATATACTCAAAAGCCTTCGCACAATTTTCAAGGGAGTCCATAATCTTCGGCCAATCAACTGTTGCAATCTGTCTTGTCATCGGGTTAAGAAATTTGATTTCATGTGCAAGGCAAAAGCACACCAAATTAGTTGTAAGGGGCATAATCTCGTGGATATCATCCTCCTCGTTTCTCCTCTCCGGACGAATGGTTAGATTCTTGTTACTCTGAACTTCTATTGTAGTTGTATGCGTTATTATTATTCTCCTTTCTGCCACTGGTACCGGTTTTATCTGATCTCCATCGATTTCAGTATTTCTCTGAGTGAAGGTCAGCAACTGCTCTGTACTTTCATTGTAGTACATATCACGTTTTCTTGTAACAAGATTTGGCAGCTTAAGAAGTTCTTCCCAGCTCTTGCACGCACAACGGAATCGTCCAATAGACTCCAGATCCAATCTACTGAAAATATTACTCAGTACATTTTCGAAAATTTACAATAAATAATTGCTTTCCATATTTTCTGTTTGGTCTATTTTTCAACTATCTAAAGAAATGGAGGCAAACTCTGTTTTGCCATTACAGAGGATATATATGAAGTGATAATTTCTTCTATTGCCAGTTTTTTATTTTCTGTGGTAGAGGAACCGTCTAACTCAATTAATGGTTACGTAATACCTAAAACCACCATTATCCTTTTAACTTCTCCCACCCTTCTTTATGATGAGTAATTGTTGTGGTAAAACAACTGGTTACATCAGGTCGTTTCAATTTTCAAGTACTACACATCAATCAGGGCACCTCTTGATATGCAATGGATAAGCAACAAATTAAATTGAAAACTTAATTTTTTGAAAATGACAAAATTGAAACTTATTTATTTGAAAAGGAATCCCTTTTGAAAATGAAGAACTTTAATACTAGATACACAATTAATGTTTTATAGTTCATTTTTTTTTATGCCATTACACAGAGAAAAAAATTATTCTAAATTACAGTAGTTTGAAACTATACATTAAAAATTTTTATGCCATTACACAGGGAAAAAAAATTATTCTAAATTACAGTAGTTTAAACTATACATTAAAAAATTTGGTGATTTGGTGTGTCCCGGTGGGGATGATAGTATATCCCCAAAAAAAGTAAAAAGGCGGTGAGTGGAACGCGGGACATCTATATTTAGGTATTTGAGACTTTGAGTGGTTCTACCACGCCACCTTGCCACTTCGAATATCCAGGCATAACATAGGTTATATATTTATCTCCATCATTGGTATAATTTGTGTATCATGCCAGATGAATTATGTAGGGCAACAAATGGAGTGAGTTGAAAAACTTTGTACGCAGAGCCTCGTTTAATTTGTTTTTTTAATGGTTTCAACCCCTTTCTTAAGCGCTATTTTTTCGATTTTGGGAATTTGTTTTGTAGTATTATATAATAACCCAATTAGATTCGTAGTATTATATAATAACCAAAATATTTATTTTTTATTTTGAAATTACATATTTCATTTGATCACAAGTATAATTTGTTTTTATTCCAGTAACACATAATTTTATTATTTATTTATAATTCATTAATAATAGGGAGCGATTTAATAATACACCTTAAGAAAATTAGAATTATCAAAAAAATAATAAGTACTTCAGAAAACATTAGATATCATAATTAATTTTGCAAAGATATTAACATGTATTATAAAGAAACAAAATTTACGTACATAAACAAAATATTAAATCACAACTATAAGGAGTGTTGTAAAAAGCAGATTTGGCATTGACATGTAGTTTATATTGTTGGAGATGCTTCAACGTGTAATCGATTTCCTTCAATATTACAATAGAACATGAAGCAAACATAAAATAGAGGTACATTTTTCCGTACAATATTTAATCGTACACAAAGAATTGACTATTTAATCTTAATCTTATTGAATAAAAAATGTACATAATAGTCTTATTATCATAAGTAAAAGAAAAAATTATTAGAAACAGACAAATTAGTACAAAAAAACCTGGAAAAAATGAAGCAGCGCAAAAAAACTGGAAAAAATGAAGCAGCAAATTGCTACTCGTGAAGGGGATTATGGCGAATAATTCTGATCCAGTCACGGGTGTCAAACATGGGCAAAACAGTCACGAGCATATTTATATGTGGATCCCGTCTCCTGGCTATAGATAGAAGGCAATCGACACAAAGGAGCCTAAAACAGGGCATGAAGCAGAGTGTGCAACTGATCATAATTTGCCCATCCATACATATATATTTGATTCATAGAGTTTTCCATATTTTCTTTTGAGAACGGTTTGGGACGGATCCACAACACAGAAAAAAGACACATGAAGAATACCAGCATCAGCAAGGAAAGTGCGATCAAAATTGGTGCATGGACTACCACAGAGAAGTTTCTCTTTGTTTTCAATGTTTGGACCTGGTTGATGAGTTGACGATGTTTGTCGATGCATGATTGGCAAATGAAGAGTCAAAAAAAGGTTTTGTACGATGTCATTGCACACCACGAGGAAGTTTGTGCATATGAGGCAATAGGTTACTATAAGGAAGTTTGAGGGACAAAGTTCTGCTCTTGATTTTGAGCATGTAATTCCTTCTGACTTAGCTTTCATTTGTAATCTAGTAACCAAGTCGTTATCTCGTGATTGGAATAAGTAGTTTGTGTACACATGGTAAATTGTAATAATGCATGGGTTAAGTTATCTAATTTTTTATTCCGAAAATTTCGTATTTTTGTAGTATTGATTGTTCGGTGTTAGATGTAATTAGTTATTGTATGGACATTTCAATGGAAATATATATAGGATTAAGCAAGCGCTATGATATAAAAGGCGAAAGATGATAAAATTTAACACTTCGTAGGTAACAAATTATTATGGAGAGACATGGGAATAAAAAAAAGGGGTAGAGGTATTTTGTAGTCGTTTGATGTAATTATTAAGGGTGCATGATATATGTAGTCGTTGGTGATACAAACTGATATTTCATTTTTCTCCTATGAAGTTCCATGATATTTGTAACCTTTGCAATCGTGAAGAGTCAATTTTGAAGGTTGTACGTACATGGAAAATGGGTAGAGGTATTTTGAAGGTTGTAGATTAACTGAAGAATGGGACGGTTAATGAATCGATTCAACGGATGAAGCTGGAAAATGAAAAGTGAAATTAATTGTCCCAAAATATAAATTAAAACAAACAAAAACAAGAAACAATTAATGACGTTTAATAATAGAAATTGAAAAGTTGTTTGTCTAACAAATCGAGACCAAAATTGAAGAATTTGTTCAATGATCCATTAATGTCTCCATAAGGGTAAGTTGGGAAGAATAGTATGAAAGTTGCTAGTTAAAATAGTTTGAATAATTTGTGTGAACATGGAGTATGTAGTAATGTACTTCACACTATTGGATTTGTTATAATTAAATTCATATGAATATTCCAATAAAATAATATGATCATTGTTTTTTGAAAGGGAATATGATCATTGTTGTTCATGAATATTTCAAGAGAAGAATATGAACATAGCATAATCTTCATGATACGTATAGGTAATTAACCGGTACATAAATGATTGCGATACATACTATGATATTGAAAAGATAATTAATGGTAGATAAGTAAATACGTATGGGTAATTAACCGATACATAAATGATTATCAGATACAAAATATTTACAGAAAGGGGAAATTCAGATACAAAATATTTACAGAAAGCAGAAATTTGATCTTTAATTTTTTCTTGCCACATTACTTAAAAGGATGCAGTTGAAATGATGTTCATTTCTGTTGGTGTGAAACGACCCAAAAAATGTTAAAGGTACCAATATGTCATTATTAGGGTATCCGTCTGTAATTATTCTACATGACTTGGAATGACTAGGAATGTGGCGGCATATGTCAATCAGCTTCATTTCATACTTGAAAAAATCAAATTGTCACAATTGGAATTTTTGGCGGGTTTTGGAAAAATTAAATTTTTTAAAAACTCCCGCTTTTTCCGAGTCGCCTCTTCCCGCCCAACCCATAACCATCTTCCGATCCTCATTATAAAAAAAAGCCAAGCCGGATTACCAATCGTCCCACCCAACTCTCCAGATTAGAATTTTTCTATTCATCTTCCAAAACTGCTCTTTCTTCCACCAGCATCCAAGGGTTAACTATCAGAATACTAAATCCAAAACTAATAAACTAGATGGTTAGACATAGACAAAGGGTGAGAAGAAGTTGTGTGCTATTGAATGGAATGGCTATGGTACCACCAAATCTCCCAGAATAGCCAACAAGAGAAGACCGAGCAGCCCACCGGAGTATCATACAGAATATAGAAACTTCAGGGCTGGTCTCCAACCCAGTGGTAGAAGAATTCTTCCGTAGGAACCGACAAAGGGGTTTAATAATAGAACAAGGTATGGTGGGGAAACCAGATCCCAACTCGTACATAGCACTACACCATTGGGCAGGGGTGTGCACCGTCACAACCAGACCCAATCTAAGTGCAGTACGAGAATTCTACAGCAACCTTAGAGGAGACCTAGGGAATGAAATCACTGTGAGAGGCCGAATTGTTAACATCAACATAGAAGCTATCAGAGACATACTTCACCTTTTAGAGATTGATTTCAATTATGCAGATGGCGCCTATCAAGCAATGGATTACATCCCGGAAGAGGAATTGCCATATGCATTATGCTCCAATCCGGCATATGTAGAGTGAACAAAGCGCAATGGTATCCTCTAGAACTTTCTATCTTCAGATCTGAAGCCAGAGTATAAGTAGTGATACAATATGATATGTACAAACATCATGCCCCTATGAGTTCGCAAAAAGGTAACCTATGAGATGACCCCCATGCTCTATGCTCTAGTACTCAACATCCCCATTAATGTAGCTCAAGTCATCAGAGAACAAATGACCATCTGTGTCACCAATCCAAGGGAGAAAGAATGGTTCTTTCCAGTGCTGGCAACAAGGTTGATGCAGAGAGCAAATGTGCAGTTCTTGCACACAAATCTCATTCTTGAAATCCCACCTCCATGGCAGTTGCAAGGACCTCTGAATCCATTCATGAACCCCTGATCACCCAGGTCAGTACCATGTTTCTAGTTTCAGCAAATTTCAGTTTCTCTTATTTGTAGTTATTTGAATTCTGCTTCATAAAATCAATATATGGATGTCAACATATAATGAAATGTCGGGGCGTAACAATGTAGGGACTTGTTTCTGGCCTGCAAGGTGTTGGGCCAGTTAGCCTTACCGGAACACTGCAATGTTGCATATGGGGCAGTTCGAAGAAGAAGACAACCCAAACCACATTATATCCCTAATTTAGCAATTGTATTAATGGTTGATATG